CCACGCTCACTCCAGCCCCATGCCCGGCCCTGACTCGCCCCAGCCCTGGCCCCATTCCTGCACCAGCCCTGGCTCTGGCGGGCACTGCGCTGTACCCATCCCCTTGTCAGTCCCATGCCCTGCCCCAAGTGCCTGACCCTCCCCCAGTCCTAGCCCCACTGTGTAGCGCAGTACTCCTGGCTCAGCTGGCTTGGCTCCTACCGCCTTCCAGGCAAGGCAGGGTTTGGCCCCCTCCCCGCAGGCATGGTGCCACCGGACCTGCAGGTGTGGTGCAGCTCTTCAGGCAAGACCGCCATGCTGACCCCCCTCCCTCAGCCCCACTGGTGGAGGTGGGGCCCCACTTCTAGCTGCCAGGGAAGCAAATGCAAAAGCCGCAGTTTTAAACGTGGTGCCGAAAATGGGCACTGAGTTTAAAGCTGCCGCTTTCACCTCCCTGCTAATGAGCATCCTGAGGCCTCGAATTGGAAGGGGCCCCTGGGCATGTGCCCAGTTTGCCTGTGCATTGATGTGAGCTGAGTTAGCTGACAAAGCCAGAGGAGGCATCGGTTGTGGGATGGGGGTGGTAAGCGGCCAGCCACACAGGGACTCTTGGCTGTGGTGCTCCCTCCAGCCACAGGTTTTGCAGGCATGGATGGGGTGGCCCTGCCTTGAAGAAAGACACTGAAGTTTACTATAGCTGAACACCGACACCATGAACAGAGTCAACAACATGATGCTGAGTGCAGCTTAGCAAGCATACATAGACTCAGACAAACTAATTAAGTTTAACCTCTGATCTGATGAATTCCAGCTAGCTGTGGTTAAGCCTTTCTTGGATAAGGGTTTAAGTGCAGTTAGCTGAAATGATATTGAATATGGTTTGTCCTTCTTGTGCTACTTGCTTATTCACATAAACATGATTGTTTACAACTGTGTTTGGCCATGGTAAAACTTCACAGTGCGGATCAAGTCCTTGAGGGTTGTCTAAACTACTTCCAACTGTACTAGGATGTGTTGCTCTGAAAAGATGCCTCAGCCGTTCACTCTCACTCTATGCACACTGAATGCTAAAAAAAAAAAATGTAATGCAGCATTAGAGTAGCACTGGGAATGTGCCAGAATGTGTGTGTGTGTGTGTGTAACCTTTCTGCTGGGCTCTGGTCAGCAGCAAGAAGGGCTGGGTTCACATTTTGAGGTACCCCATAAATTATACCAGTGGCTTGAGTCCCCACCCAGAAACCTGGGAACACTAAATTGCTGGGGTTGTTTGACCCCAGTACTCTTTGCTGCCATGGCAAGGGGTCGGACTCGATGATCTGCTCAGGTCCCTTTCAACCCTAGAAACTATGAAACTATGAAATTTGCGGAGGTGTCCCATATAAACAAACCTCCCTCCTCGCAAGCAGTGTAAACACAAAACCTCCAAATTTATTAGACAATAAAAAAAAACAAACAACCCCACCCCAAAGAAAACACTAAATATAATTTTAAAACACTATTAACTCCGAAGTCCATAGGTGGCACCCTCTTGGAGAGGCTTCACTTGTACCCAGGCAGTCTGGGACTTGGGATCCCTAACAGGGAGTTCCTGGGGCTTGCACTCCTATACCTGTCCTTCAGCGATGGGCTGGAGAGGGGGGCCCACACTGGAGAATCCCATGAGCTGCTCCTTGTGTTCACTGTGTGCAGGGAGCTGCTTGAAAGCATGGGTCCTTCTGCATTGCAAGGTTCTCCATTGCTCCTGGAGAAGTGGTAGAGTGCCGATCTTTGCTCCCATGGAGAGGCTGTGTGTGTGTGACTAGCTTCAGCCAGCATGCATGTACCCCAAAACTTCTGGGCTGGATTATATGGCCTGCTGAATGAAACAAAAACTGCAGAATGAACTCAAAAGAGAGCCAGGTTGATTATTGGCTACATCTGGCTCAGCCTCACAGCTTGACTGGAGCAACGGACAATCAAAAGAAACAAAGGGGAAAAGCCAGGTCTAATTTCTAGCCAGCCATCCCAAAGAACCAATACTCTTCTCCCCAGTATTAATCCCTTAAAACCTCAGAAAATGGGGAACAAAAAGAGGAGAGCGGAGTTCCCAGACACTGGGACAGTTCTCCCTCTCTCTCTCTCCTCCCCTTTCGCTATCTGTAAATTCCTTCTCCCTTGGAGGAGACTTCACTCTTCAGCAGCCCCTAGCAGTTTCCCCGCTCTGCAAACCAGCCAAGCTCACCTTGTATCCTTCTCCATGACATCACCCTGGCCTTGTCCAGGCAGGGAGTGCCACACTCCAGTCTTTCTCTTAACCAAACTGCCTGAAAAGTTTTTGCTTCCCCTGGTCAATCAGGCCAGAGGATTTTACATATTTTGCCCAGATACAAGGCCCCAGCTTTCCGTGTGCAAAGCACATGGTCAAAACAACATCTTGTGTGCACATGCGCACACACACATACATGCCCCAACTAAAAGCACACACTTTGCTATGCACAACCGAAGTGTGTATGGGTGTTACACACACACACACACACACACACACACACACACACAACATAGCTGCTATGGGTGTGTGTGTGTGTATGTGTGTATGTTTGGCTGTGAGGTGTGCACAAGGCACGAACAAGTAGGCAGGCATATTTTCATGGCTGTGCTTACTAGCACTCCAGGAGGCAGTGTAGACATGGTCCCAGTTTAACCATTTCCAAACAAATGAGAAAGTATATATAAAATAGTGCTATATTAGATGTTTGGCAAATACTGCATTTCACCTTCACATGAGGGTATGCTTGTTTTGTTCAGAAATGCATTCTTTTGACAGCAATTGCATGTAGTTCACATTAGAAAGACTTGGCCATCAAATGTAGGAATGGTGTTTTCTTAAACTGTTAAGGATGGCTCATTCCTAGTGATATGTCTCTCCCTGGTAATAAAGCCAAAGATGGAGGAGAGAATAGTTAAACCTCAAGTTGCCTTTTAAAAAAAATATAAATTCTTACCCCTCTCTCTTTTTCTTTTGGAGGACATTGTAGGCTAAATACTTGATCAGAAACCAGAACACATAGGACTCTTTTTAATGTGACTTTAATGAGAAGCAACTGGACATTGTAGCATATGAGTGGAGTAATTCACGTATTGCTATAAGGAACTTAAACAGAAACAAATCCAATCCCAAAGTCCCACAGAATAGAGTGTGATGACTCCAGAGAACAGACTTTGAATACTCAAAAACTAGACTTCATACTTCTGTTTATCCATCTGGGTCTCTCTTCTATGGTTATAAAAAAGCTTATACAAAAAAGGCAGGGCTATAGATTATATAGTGTTGTTTTTATAATATTGCTTGGATAAATGCTGCAACCCCTCTGTCTGAAGAAACTATTGGTGTATATAAGCCTGTTCCCTACTTTTTTAGAGACTTCCCAAAGAAAAACTGATTTGATTTTCTTTATCATTAGTTAGGTGAAGTCTACAGCTTTTTGCAACTTTTATATTGCATTGATTCCATCTGATTAATGTATTTGTGTAATACTGAATGCATACTGAAAGCCTTCTCTCATCTATTTTAAGGGTGGATGCTTCTATAACTTTGACATAGTACTATAAAAACAACTTTAAAAAAATGGTTGTGACATCACCCAGTTTGTCCTGTGCCAGTAAGTATTGAGTTTGATCGTCTGCATGGGCGACTGGTGCCACCTTAGTCAGGAGGGGCACGTGCCTCCCCAATGACCAGTGAGCGACATGGGAGGTCCCCCCGTGGCTGGTCTTGCTGACCAGGCGGGGTTCCCCAAAGACAGTTGCACCACCAAAGTGTCTGTGGCTGCTTCCGGAAGTGGCTCCGGCCGCTTCCCGGAGTGCCGCTCCCTGGCTGGTGCTCGCAGGGGGGGCACTGGTGCTCCCACGTGCCCCCTTTGCCCATTGCCTAAGTGGCAAGCACAGCTGGTCGGGGGTGCACCGGTGCTCTCAGAGGGTGCATGTGCACTCCTGTTCACCCTCTATGCATCGCCACTGATGGTCTGTGTTAGAGTAACATGAAAGCTTCCACATCCATACCAGTGACTGAATGATGCCATTGTTTACTAGTTGTTTCCAACCTTTTCAAGCAACCATATCAGTTTACTGTAGTGAAACTGGTATTACTGAGCACTTCCCCCATAAGCAGTGACTTTAAGTTCCTGCATCTGGTATAATGTTGGCCTGCCTCTTTCATTTAGTTAAACTAAAGCCTTTCCAAATCCCAGATCGTGTTAGACTGTGCAAAACTGAAATCTGGAGCACTCTAGCTCTATTGTATCAACTGAGCATAAAATGACAGACATATGTTGTATCAAGTTCAAGTGAGGAAGGCTCTTGTGGTTGGGATGACTTTCCTAGTTCCAGTTACAGCATCCCTAACTATAACAGGCAAATCAGTATTCAGGAACTTCTCTACATTAAGGAGCTTCTAGCCTCCATTAGCACACAAATATAGGGCAAGTAGTCAGGCCTCAAGTTCTGACTTCCTGCATGAAGATAGTATGCTTATAGATCACTGGGTAATGATTGATTTAATAATTTCTGCAGTTGTTGTACTACAATTCTTTATTGGCTTAAAATGCTTGCTATTTAAAAGCAGCTATATGTGGCTGAAGCAAAACAAATGGGCTCCTACACACATGCAGGGAGTGTAATTCTAGCGTATCAGAGCAGACTCCAGTATCATGTGCATCAGTGTCCCCACTGAAAGCTGGCGGTGGGGTGCTTTAGAGCTTGTTTGACGAGCTTTAGTTCAAAGCACCCTGCCACCATTTTTCAGTGTGGGGACACTATGATACATATGATGCTCTGCATATTTTTAATTAGCACGGCTCTCGGAGTTGTGTTGATTAAAACACCCCCTCCCCCCCGCTTCCCGGAGCACGTCTGTAAACACAAATGGACTACAGTATGCATCTTAAGATAAATTGCTCCTGTAGTTCTGGAGACTCCCTTAAAAACAATAGCTTATAAACAAGAATAGCACCTGAATCTCCAAGTGGAATAATTTCTTTCAATGGCACTTTAGCATATAACTGGCTTTCTTAGCTATGCACCTCAAATAAGTTTGGTAGCCTACAGCTTACATGAAAGGATTTCTGGATGTCTCTTTGTTTTATGGGAAGGGATAGTCTTGATGATTTTTTATGGTAAAATCAGCGCAAAGAACAGTGAAACGATCTTCATTGACCAGCTTCAGTGAAACAACATAATCTCCCTGGGTGAGACAAAAGCAGAGCGCTAGATTAGCATGCATGTGGTGAATAGCATTCTCTCTCTGTAGGAGAAAATCCCTTTTTTAATTAAAAAAAATATTTTCCTACTTCATCCCTCCAAAAATCTCTCCCAGTCCTAAATATGTTTCAGTACCAGTAAAAGGTTTGTTCCGTGCTGCTTGCCAAAGGTCCTGTTCCTTATAGACAACAGAGCAGCAAATTCTGAATTAAAACATGATGGTGATTGCTTCCAGAGGGAAACAAAATATTCTCATCTTTAGAAATGCCCATCAAGTCAGTGTAGCTCCTTTTACCCTTTCTGACACAATTGCCCCTTGGCTTGTGGTTTGAAAGCCATCTTTACTTTGCAGATGCTGTTTAATTAGACTAAGAGAAGTGCATCTTGGACTGGCTCCATGTCACTCTAATCTTACTGTTCAGTTATTAAACTGTTATCACTTCAGATGAATCCTTACAGAGTTAGCATATTGAGCTGTAAGAAATTTCATAAAAACACATGCCACAGGCACTCGGAACTGGATGTATTTTCATCTCAAAATGTGTGGTTAAAAATAAGAGTTCTTTTAGGGGGAGAATTTTACATAATTGCTCTCCTCACCCTGCACAAACAAACCAGGCAAAGTCCAATTGAATAGATTTGTGGTTTGAGGAATCCTTGGTTTTGTAGGCCAGAACCTCTCTCTCACTTAAAATGTTCAGAGGAGAATTGGGAAAGTGACTTATAAAAAGGATCACATGAGATTTGGAGGAGGATTTAACACAGAATTCTCTTATGGATTTTAGGCAATACAAGACTCCTTGTTTTTTTTCAGCAGTGTGGAGAGGAACAAAATATGGGGCTGGAAAGCCACCAGATGTATAGAGGCTTTGGAGCAGTGGTCCCTTTGCTTCAGCCAGGGCTTTCTGCTTTTTGGAAGAAGGAAGAGACTTAGTTGCAAATATGGCTGTTTAGGACATAACCTTATTTGAACTAGATTCCCCTGAGCAGACTCTCCTGAGGATGCTGATGTTAGATGAAGCTCTATAATCAACATGGCCAGTTTCTGTAGGCCTTACACTCATTGGGTGCATCTACACGAGCACTTTACTGGGTGCATCTAATCTATACAAGACATTTAAAATGTAGGGGCGTTTGTACATGCCAAGTTTTTTGCCTTTTCTAGCACTGAAATGACTGTTTGCGTGAATGGGTTTTCCAGATGCTTTAAAAGTCTTTCTGGTGCATTAAATTAAAACTCCTTGGATGTAGTTTAGTTTGGCTCACTGAGAACAAAAGCATTGCTTCCATGGGTTTTTGTGTGAAAACTCAAAACTTGTAATGAGCCTCTTTGTCCACAGATGGTGCAGGGACTATTTTGTAGCTCACCCCTTCGAATTGCTGCTGCTTTCAAATTGCTCCCGCTTTATTTTTTCTTGTGCTGTGTTCTGGCTCCCTGCTCCCACAGCTATGTGGCAGGGTATGGGGTAGGGGGTCTTGGGCTGGGGAGCAGTGTGGGACCATCCTGCTCTCCTGTGACGCTGGCCAAGGACCGGGTTTAATTCATTTGAAAACCTAGTACATGCAAACACGGATGCAACACTCCAAAGCTTAATTCTTTTGAAAACCTAGTGCATGCAAACACTGATGCAATGCTCCAAAATAAACAAGGTTACATTTTATAAGCCTATTTAATTTAATGAGGATTAAACCCCGTGACGTACAGGCGCCCCGGAAGACTAATTCTACTGCACAGCGCAGCAGGCAAAGCCTGTGTTAATGCACAGTAAATTTAATGTAATGCACAGTAGTGTCACAAAAAAGTTAATCTGCACTAATGTGCAGTAGCACCGATTATGGCACATTAAGTTAGTCCCTATCATTACAGGTACTAAACTTAATGTGCTGTAATTACTGTATGGTAATGAACATGTAGACATGCCCACGGAGGAGTTGACTTATTAGCTCTGCAGTAAAGACTTACCATCTACATATGCGCCTGTATTAGGGTGCAGTGAATTAATTAACTCCACCATAAGATAGTGCTGTCTGGCAGAGTTATTGTGTGTGTGTGCTGTACCGCACATGTAGACAGTGACAGGGGCTGGCTGGGGCACGAGAATGCTAAAGTGTGGGGGCTGCTTGCCAGTTAGCCCTGCACTGTAAGCACCCTCATGCCCCAGCCAGCCCCTCTGCTGCCCAGCGCTGCCACCTGGAGCCCAGGGCTGACCACTTAGGTCCCCCACCAGCCTGGGGCTCCTCTGCCCTGGCTTGAATTGCTGTGGTCCTGGACGCACATGCAAATACTGTGCCTGCAAGCAGTTTTCTCTGGTGCAAACTATGCCAGAGTTTATTGCTCCAGCTTAATTGCATGTGTAGATGCACCTATTGAGTAGTACCTTATTCCCTTGATGAATGCAGTGGCTCCTTGTGAGTTCTACTAATATTAAAAAACCCCCAAAAACAAAAACCCATGGAACCAGTGCTGTTAATGGGTACTTCCAGAGGCAACCTTTCTCAGATTTCTAGGGACAGCTGCTTCATTTGTTACCAATTCAAAATGCAATGCCATGCATTGGATGGGGAAATGACAAACACTGCTGAATGGTTCTAGTGCTTGGTATTAGAAGAGAAAATCTGTGATTACTGACAAAATCCAGCTGCAGCTGGTAGGACTATGGTGACTCTGTTAGGTGATCCTTATATTTTAGAGTGTGAAGCAGCTCTCATGTTGTAAGATAACTTACTTGGGGGACTTCAAAGTTTCCCAGACTGATGGGTCCTTCATAGTAGAGTTGTTCTGAAAAACAAAATGGATCCTTATTGTGCAACCCACAAGGAAAATAACATTTGACAGTAGAGACTATTTTGTAATGACATTTGGAAGTCTTCAGGGCTATGAAATTGTGAAGCGCTTCATAAAGAGGCCCATAACAACCCTCTGAGGTAAGTGAAAGGATATCCACTGCCATATTAGTGAGAGGGAATTTGTTCCAGTGCCCATGCTAAGCCCCTGGGGATGTCCTGTGTAAGGTACGCCTTTATGGAAGTGTTGAGGAGACAGTCTCATCTGAGTGCTCTGGCAGTTAATAAGTGTAAAGTTTTCTGTCCTGACACGTCTGATTTCCAAGTGCTTATTGAATATTAAATTAATTTAAAACGTCTTTGACTTTTTGGAGTAAACTGGCACACAGAGGTTACGTAACTTGTCAAAGGTATGGAAAGTTGGTGTAAATGTGAAGATTGGAATCCCTAAGTCTCACTTGCCAGGTTCTGGCTTTGTAGCCACTAGATACACTTCCTCCATTCTCACCACTTACTGGGTGAAAAAAAGATTATTTCTGAGCTTGTGGTCGTACAGTACCATCCAAGCTCCCTTTCTCTTTTTTCTGTAGCTTATTGGGTCAAAGCCTTCAGCCAGCACTTAAAAGTCCTCAGACATTTTAAATGTAGGTTGGAAGCTTCCTACACTCCTCTGCTGCCCTTTGGGATCCAGGACAAATTTCAGTCTCCTGTCTCATATGAGCTATTATATTGTTTCTTCTTTGATGCTGAGGGAGAAAGTGGTATTTTTATCTTGTTATATGGTTTTTTCAGACTCCATTCTGCCCAGCCCTTCTCCTCTAGCAATTGTCTGCAGTTCACTAAAAGTTGTCTTAGCCTGGCATCTCTTAAATGAACCCTAAACTTTATGGCTAGGGACAGAAGTTACACATAAACTGATTTAAGTGATCAGAAACCAGTTTAAATCTGTAACAGAACAGAAATTCAATGCATATAAACCACTTTCAAAATGGCTGAAACTGGTTTAACATAAACCTGGTTGAATGTAGTTTCAGACTTAACTGATTTAGGTCAAACCAGTTTATGGAACTTCTGACCCAGATTCCTTCCTGGTTTAAGTTAACTCACAGTCCCCCAGCATCCCATATGGAAGTGCCTACAACCAAGAATACCTGCTGGGGGGCTCTGTATTGCTGGGGGGGAAAAACCACCAAGGGCTTCCTGCAGCCAGTTTTCCCCCTCTGCCCCTGGCCCAGCCCCTCCGTGTTTGCCTTCTGCAGTGCCTGCAGGATGGTCTGGCTCAGCCCTGCAGCCCCAGCTCCAGCTGTGGGCAAGGCAAGCAGATGGTGGGGCCAGGCCACAGGGGCTGGGCCCTTCCCAGCTGGCTGTGGATCAGGCTGGGGCCATGGGAGCTGTGTGCCTGGTTTGCTTCCAGTTCCCTGTGCCCAGGTTGGGCTGGGCTGTCACAGAGCCACTGTGGTGGGCAGGGCTCTCCCCCTCCTTTTCCTCTCCTGATGCAGGGCATGGGGGTGGGGTTTGGAGGGGCACAGTGCTGGGTCCTGCTGTGGCGCAGGGGGGAGAACCGGTCACAGGAAGCCCTTGGTGGTTTTTTTCCCCAGCAGTATAGAGCCCCCTTAGCGGGTATTCTTGGTTGTGGGTGCTGCCAGCAAATCTTGTATGGGAGGGTCTGGCCAGGCCTTAGGCAGGGGCTGGACTAGACACTGAAGAACCTCTGGAGGTTCCTGTTAGCCCTGCTTTTCTGTGATTCCTGCCTCCCTCCTCCCCACTTTGCCTCAGGCCCGGGCTGGGGTCTGGCCATGCCACTGCTGTCACTGCGCAATCCTTCAGTGCCAGCTGTGGGGCAGAGTCTGGCCACACTCCCCTCTTCCGTTGAAAAAGCCTGGTAAAGGTAGCTTCCCTCCTCCCCCTCCAGGCACATCCTGGCTGGGGACTGCGCAGGTCAGGGTGGGGGTTTAAACTTCTCCCCAATTACACTCAGCCTGCTGGGACCTTGTCACACCCCTCTACCCCGCTTCCAGCTCAGCTTCCCTCCAGCCTTCTGGCCACTGCCAAAGGAAAGGGAGGGCTCGCTCTAGCACTAGCCTGAGTCACTGAAGGCATGTGGCTGCATTTTTGGAATTAAAAGTGAATGTCTATTCATGTGCTTGCTGGTTCAATCTATGCAGGTTAGATTGACTTGCAAAGATTGAATCAGTTCAGGCTCAGGCTTTTTAAATGTCTGCATTTAGCCAAAGTGTTGAATGTGTGGAACAAGCATTGGCATTTGCAAGAGCGCCAAACCCTAGCCCAAATTTTATTAAGGAGGAGATTGAGTCAGAGAAACTGTGCGCAACTTGCCTGAGGTTCCACAGAAAAGCTAGCAGCAGCCTTTAGATTAGAACTCGGGCTGTTCTGATTACTGCTCCAGGAACTAATTCACAGCACTACAGGACTGTCCCATGTCCTTGACCCTCAGCTGTGCCTTTTTAGAGAGAGCTGTTGCCATGGCTGTTTGCTTCTGTGGCTGAAGCAGGAGACTTAGAGTCTGACACATTTCAGCTTCATGGAGTAATGTCTCAAATGTTTAAAAATAGGAGCACAGCCCACCTCTCAGTGCACATTTTACTAGAGCCCAAACAGGAGTTGCAGGTGCAGACTGCAGGCATCCGTGTTCCTGTGGAACTTACTCACATAAGTAGTGAGTTCCAGGGTTCAAATTACACTTTGACTCGGTGGGGGGGGGCTGCAAAAAGATTGGGCTTCCCATCATGATGCCCTAATAAAATCAGAGACTCCTCAGGTTATGATTTTCACATTTCACAGTGGGGATCTTGTCTCTTATGTGGGGGGTCTCAGCCCCCCTAAGCTCCCCCATTATTTGAACCCTGGTGACTTCCTAAGGACTTTATTTGAATAAAGCAGGGTAGGTGCTTAAGATCTGGGACAGAAGTTCAATAAACGGATTTAACCTAAATCAATTAAGTCTAATACTGCTTCCATTCATGTGTATCTTAAACCAGTTTCAGCCATTTTGAAACCAGTTTATGTGCACTGAACTTCTGTTGTGTTACACACTTGAACCAGATTCTGATCACTTATACCGATTTGTGTGTAATTCCTGTCCCTAGCCTAAGTGTTTGCAGAATGAGTGACTGGTGCCTCCCAAGTCTGGGGGGTGCACCAGATCACCGACTGGGGGGCGGGCCCCCTAGCGGCTAATCGCCAACTGGGAGGAAGGGGGGATACCCCAGCAGTCGATGGCCGAGCCTGAAATCACCAGTGGCAAAACTGGAAGTGTACTTCCGCTTGCATTTCTGGTTTTGCAGCTGGCATTTCCAGGAGGTGCATGGCCAATCTCAGAGGTACATGTGCACCCCCTATGTGTCACCAATGGTTTGCAGTAGTAGTAGTGAATATGGGTCATGGAAACTGTCCTAGTCAAATCATATTGCAATGTATGGAAATTTATGCACATAGAAAATTTCCCTTTTGTACTGATTCCTTTGTGATAAGCCTTGTTTGAGCATGAAGTGAGGCAACACAGAGTCAGGCTCCAAAAGTCCCACAAGCTCCAGTGGACAAACACGGAGCAAGACTGGGCTGTGAACAGCCTAGGAAATAAACCTCTTTCCTCAGAGTCCTTCTAGGACTGGTGGAAATGGAGACCTTTCCCAGGCTACATGGTTTGCTAGGGCTGAACCTGCAATATTTCAAACCTGCCAAGATACTGAAGGTGAAATGCTTGTGTCCTAGCTTTGCAGAATTCCTATTTGAAAATTAAGGAGGTGGCATTAAACAGCACGTGTGCTTTCAACTTCTTAGTGGAGAGCCTAGTCTCTCTCTAGTGAAGGCAGAATTTAATTTTTTTCCAGTGCTCTATGACAAACTTTAACCACTGCATCAAGGTCTGATCAATGCAACCCAGTATCTTAACTCAATAGACTGGCCTGGCTACCACTGCCTCAAGAAAAAGGTGTTTCCACAGCACACAGATGAACTGTGGAGGCTTTCCCATTAGAAGTCCCCAGTTGTCTTGGCTATTCTTTCTTGAGGTAGAGATGGAGAGAATCTCTCTGTGGAGCAGAAGTCTGGGAGATAGGCTCCCCCAGCTTTCCCCAGCTTCCTACCACAGCCTTAATATTTTGCCCCAGTGGAGTGGCTTTCCAACCAAAAGGATTGCAGAGGGCAGAGCAAGGTGGTATCTTAGAGACTAAGTTGTTCAGAGTAGCATAGGCTTTCATGGGCAACAACCTACTAGCTTTTGATAAAGGAGATGGTCTCTTCTTTGCAAAAGTTAGCTTCTAAGATATCACTCTGGCCTACCTCCTACCTGACTTCAGACTATTATGGCAAAGCCACCTCTCTCTACCAGAAATACTGGAATGGTTGACAAATAAGAATGGTGCCAGTAAACTCCTTTTGAGAGCCCTGTGTCACAGATGGACTGTTGTCTTCTCTACCAGGAGAAACTGGGCTCTTGTTGTGGGAAATGAGAGTAGCTTTAACTTTCAGCCAGTAGTGGCTCCAGGGAGATAGCATGAATAAGCAAGTCTGCTGAGTGGTTTGTCAGTACTCTTCTCTGCCAAGGGCCATTTGCTTTGATGGCTGTGACTTTGACTAACGCAGGCACCCAAACAACTGTTATTCCTTCCATATGGGCATTGCACTACTGAGTTTGCAACAGAAGAGAACATTCCTAAAACTGAATCAAATGCAAAAAATATGTCACTTTTGAAAAGCTGCTTGAGTACAGTATTTTTCCTACAGTTCATCAGTCCTCGCATGTGCCTATTAAAAAGGAGCAAATTAAATAAATCAGTGGCAATAATTATAACATCTAGCCTTGCTCATTGAATATGAAATGCTTCTTTTTAGAAATCTTCTGCCTGAGCTCATATGGTTTAGATGGTCAGAAAGATTAATATTATAGGATCGATCTATAAATCAGAATGATCTTTCAGTAAAAACATTCAGTAAAAAAGTGCCTGCCTTTGTACAGGACACTAGTTAAGTCATAACACATCTTAGCGACCCAAGGTTTTGGCTGTCTATATTCAGATTTTTAAGGGCTAACATGATTAAAGATGCTTTCCACAGAGCAGCACAGAAAATGTTTGTAAGATCCTGTGACACTGGGGGGGTTGGAAGTGGGGGGAAGAGAGGGGGAGCTTCACCATTATTTCTTAACAAAAGTAATTTACCCATACTTTTGCTACTCAACAGGTTATTAGAAAGTGGAGGGTTTTTGTGCACAAGCTACAATTTCCCAGTAAATATTCTGAGTTACTGGTTATCATTTATTGTGAAGCTGCTTCTCATTTCTGACAAAACACCTATAGTGAAATTCTCACTCCTCTTTTCTCAAATCTTTCTTATGCTGAAAATCTTTAAACATTTTCACACTCTTTGTACTATATAAAAGCCACAGTACATTTGCACCCACCTCTTCCTTTTCTAGGCTTTAAACCTTTCTGGAATTTTAATTTTTTTCTTCATCCATGTATTAATGCAGTAGTGGTTAGTATCTCTAGGGTTAGATCCTGCATCCATTCAACTCAGTGGCAAAGTTCCCATTAACTGTTGATGCAGGACTGACCTGAATAGTGCTCAGCTATAGGTATCATAGATGAATGAGTATCATTGTCTCCACTGGGAATGATAAAGGAAGTGAGACTAAATGAGGTCCCAAGGCAGATCAGTCCAGAACCCAGTTCTGTACTGGAGCTGCTTTCTCAGAGGCTCATGTCCAACTGCACCTAAAACAATTTACTGCACACTCATCTTCTTTCCACATGCCCCGGCTCCCCCCAAATCTCTCTCTGCAGATAACGCATTACATACACTAACCACAACAGGAACCCCTGGAGGGAAAAAGTTAATACAACTGAGGTCTGGGATAAGCCTTATTGCTCGAATGTGATTGCAAAGAATCGGAAGTTTGTTGAGTGTCCTCATATGTTGACAGTAAGTCGGGGAATTGCAGAAGTTATGTCCTTGGGCATTAAGATTGGTTAAAGCTTGTGAACTGTGGTTGATACAGATTTTAATGTTGCCTTAATAGGTGGTTTTTCTCTGATTTGTGCTGGCAGTGATGGGAAATACACTTGAGCAACCTTAATTCTTTTGCAACTCTTCTCTTGGGAGGGATATGGAGAATAATTAGAAGAGTTCCTCCCTGAAAAGGGGAAGATCACCTTTGAACTAAAGACCACAAAGAATTTAGCAATGATTCTGTGCACTAAAAATGTTCCCCTATTTGCTGCCTCCTCAGCAAAAGTTCTAGTAGGCTTTGATCCCCAAGAAACAGACAATATACTTTATTTGTCATTGTATTAAAACAAGGGCCCCAGGGAGTTGTGGTTGGGCACATGTGGCCATTGTTTGAATTGCTTAAGTAAATTATTGAGGAAATACAAGTTAGAATAGTATGCTAAGGTAATTCCAAGTGTGGGCTGAGGTCCTTAAGTAAAATTAAGGGACGAAAAATGTTAACTATTTGTGACTTTTGACTCCGCCTAAACCCCTTTCCACTGCAGATTCCTCTCTATCAGTACAGGGTATCTCTGGCGCTTTCAAAAAAATCAACAGACTCTATAATAAAAATAAACCATGGGAAAGTCAGCACTTCTTTGGGAAGAAAAGTGGAGCCAGGTTTTACAAGTTTTGGCCTCAGCAGTGTCTGACCAAATCCTGATTGGAACTATGTTTAAAGTGAGGAGAAATTGGATTTTTTTAATGTTGCTTGGCATGCACTGAAGACAGGGCTCACAAGTTTCAGTCCAAGGGAGAACATGCTGGACATTTTCAGTGTTGCTTTACCTCATGTTTGACAGCTCACGGGATTGCAATCACGTTTAACGGCCATGCAGACATGGTCTAAATATGGCCTTGCTGAATTGTTAAAATTATACTTTAGTACAATGTGTGCCTAGGACCAAACTCCTTCTCAACATAGTTAAACATCTACATCAGCCATATAGAAAGACCATGCCTTCGTTCTGAGGCCATGACATCTAAGGCTGCCTATATATGTGCTGGTCTGGGTTCTAATTAGAACACATCATAGCAGACTTGATTAATCGAGTCTACTCTGCGTTTTAATTAGAATGCTCCAGCGTGGCCTAACCGTCACGTGTATAAGTCTTCATGCATTTAAAAATGGCTCTAGAGGTGCTTTATCTAAACCTCATTGAATGAAGTTTAGGTAAAGAGTCCTGCAGCCATTTTGACATGCGCAGGGGCTTAATAAACATGATGATGAGGCATTTTAATTAGAGCAGCTTTCTGGGAACCGCTCTAATTAAAATGCCCCCTCCGCACCCCCAAACAAGTATATAGGCAGCCTTCAAAACGCAACTCCTTCCTGTGGTGACTTGCATGGTAAAGCCAAAGCTACCTGAGAAAGGTGCTTATTAAACAAGGTAGCTTCTATTAAAAAGCACGTGGCAAAAATTGGCTCATTAATTGACGGCAGTTTCTAAATGAAGATATATGGTATTATTTAAACAATCAACTATGCTTTTATATCATAATACACTTCAATTAGTGAAAACAATCTCCCTGCCAGGAGAAGATTAAGGACCGTCAAACCCCAGAAGGATTTGGTTTTGTGGCTTAATGTGTAAACAGCAGCTTGCACTGGGCTCAGGACTGACTCTAGTGCTCCTTAATGCATTTTCTAAAGGGTGTTATTAAGTACTTCATCAGAATAAGACAGTCTTCCAGTAGGTCTGTGGGTGTCTTATTTTTTCTTTAATTCAATACACTATTGAGGAAGCCTCTGAATTTAATTTTTTCTGTCTATCTGACTTACTGAATTTACATAATTGGTTGCTCATGCAGCATTTGCCTATTATTCTTTGTGATATCTCTATGCAGCGTGAAATGTCTTAGCAATTCCCCAAAGGCCACCTCACTGGCAGGCTGTGCATGGTCATCAAGCCCACAGGAGATGAATTATCCTTGTGCTGATAGAGAGGCAGGTGAGGGGGAAGGGAAGTTATTCAAAGCTAACTTACCAAAGCAGCATTCCCTGAACTCCATAGGGCTCTGTTCCCTCATTTTATTGTATTGTACTGTATTTTATTTTATTAAATCAGTCCCCTCCCTACAGTAGTTGCCGGCCATGCAAGCAGGCTTGTTGAAGTTGCCTGTGAATTCCAGGGACTGGCTTTGGTGGCATGGGAAGCCCTTCCTGGTTCTGCTTCCCTAAGATAGCATGTCTCATTCATTGACATTATATACTTGGACTCTGAGGTGTATAACACTCACCCCCTTCCATGGGATTAGAATAAAAGTAAGCCAACATGTTATGTAAAAATAAGACTTTTAAAATTAAAATGACTCTGTCCTACTGTGCACCTGCCATCCCTAAACATTAGGCTGAAGTGAACAGAGTGCTAGGATGTATTGGTACATTCAGTAGCACAGCAGGTACATCTTGCTGAGGATGTTTACCAAACATTCAACATTTTAACCTACTGCATAAATTACCTCCTTTCTTCTTTCCGCAGAAAAGAAACTTTGGATGATCTGGCTCACAAAGTGAATCCGAGTAGGATAAGACACTCCTGCCATTTATGATAAGATTAGCTTTCAGGTACAGTGCCTTGATATTGTGTCCTGTACAAAAAAGAAGAAAAACTCAGTGAGTGAATTGTAAGGAAACTGAGCCCTGGTGACTGTGCTTGTTGCTTGTTTTCTTGAAAGAAAAAGGTTTCTGTTTACTCTGATGTTTTAGGTCCCACCTGACAATTCCTAAATCCATAGACACTTGCGATGCAGATGTGGTGTATTTAGGAATTGTGATAGATAACAAGAGACAGACTGCTGGAATCACTCTGGATCCTGCTGTGTGGGGTTGTGGAAAGACATATGCATCTTAATGATAGCTCCAAACTTATCTTACTTATGACCCCTTTACAAGCATCTGCATGCAGGCCTCCAGGGGTGAAAGGCTAATGCAAATAACTAGTTCTTGTCCCAACCTATTTGCATCTGGAAAAATGTTTCTGAGTGCTAAGAATGAGTAGCAATCAGGACTTGTAGTAGAGATGATATCTTTTATTAGACCAGCAAGATTTTATGGCTACAACCTGAGTAGCGTACAAATTCATATCCAAGACCAGGCCATGGGCAGCAGTTGGAGCCTAATCTCTACTCTTTGTATCTTAAAGACTTGAGAATCTGCATTACAAGACTTATTGAATTGATGGTTCAAGTTTATTTTCCAAGTTAAGTCAACTCAAGTTGTTAATGACTTTTAACCCTAACCTGAGTCCTGTCCACATACAGAACCTCTTAACTTGCATGTACAATAGTGGTGATACTGAGTTGCCAGACCAGGGAGAGTGCAGAGGATTAAGCTCAGGTTAAACTAATTGAGCACCTGATGTTGTGGTCTCCATAACAGCTGCTACCACTGAAGTACTTCTGCTTCTCTAAAGAAATGCAAAACTCTAGAACTCTTAGTTCAGAGATGATACCTGTTATTAGACCAATAAAAGGCATCATCTCTGAACCAAGAATTCTAGAGTTTTGCATTTATTTTTATCTCAGACCAATATGGGTACCAAATACATCTCTGGTTCTCTAATGCCTTCTTTCTATTCCATCACCTGTGCCAAGCAAAGGCAAAGACTTTCTTCCACAATTCACTGGGAAAGTGTTCATAGGGTGGCTCAATTTTCAAAAAGCCTATGAGATATGTCCCAAGACATTTTGGCCCACAGGGATGAGTGCAATGCCAACACAGACATTGTTGCTCAGGTGCAATGTTGTCCTGTAGCCAGATTTACCAGATCTATGGGAACTTTAGAAGGGTCACTCGAGTTAACTCAGCAGAGAAAATACCTATAAATACCCAATAAATAATAATAAACACATCTGTCTACCTATAAATACCCAAAGTTTATAAGTAGACAGATTATGGTGAGTACAGTGTTGTGTCAGTTGCTTCATAGTAATTGCCTGTGTGTGTGCTCTTATGCCGTAGTAGCTGAAAGCCAAATCATGGTAATTTAGCCCTCTTTCACCGAAAGGGGAAAAACATTTCTGTCTTTTACCTCACTGTAATTTGTCTATGCTCTAAGATAAACCCTGCCATCAAAACTTTACAGGTAGAGAAAGGGGGCAGGGAACAAAGGCACAGAGAGGCAAAGTCACTTGTCCAGGGTCAGATGCAAAGATGGACTAGGATCCAGGTCTCTCAAAGCCTAGTCAGTGCTCTGATCACTGGGCAAGACTTTCTCTCAAGGACAAAACCCTCTCCTGTTTTACCAGGGGTACAACTCCTTCCCTGCCTTACTGTTGATCATAGTACTTTGTAACAGCAGCATGCCTGTGATAAAGTATCTAATTCGTAATCTTCAGAAACAGCATTGTACTTACTCAGGAGCATCCCAGCTCTGATGTTTAAAGTATGGGATGATATTTCTGAACAACGGTCGATGCTTAAAGCAAAATCTTGCAAGGGATCTGTCAAAAGGTAGGAGGCAATAATAAGTTAGTTTTACTTCTGATACAGAGAAGCTGATCTCATAAAAACTAACGATAGAAGAGTTACAGCTCTTATGAAGTCATGGAGTCCATAGAAGTAGGGATGGAAGGAACCTCCAGAGATCATCTAGTCCAACCCCCTGACTGACGCAGGACCATCCTTATCTAAACTATTAGATACAAATCCACAATCTGATGTCTCAGTACAACTGCTATCAACTTTGACTCAGCACAAGACATAACACCTTGAGCATCCACATGTAAAGCAGGGCACCCTTCTTTGCTCTTCAGAGCATTCCCCCTGAGCCCTACAACCTGTAAAAAATAGTTCAGGCTGCTCTATGTCCTGTGCTAGTTTCACCATCATCAAGCTGATCCCAAGCACATCGATATGGCCCTGCAGCTGGGAGGGGAGACTCAAAATGGCAGGTTGAAGGGGAAATGTCCCAAAGTGGATGGCAAGTGGGACTCACCTAAGACAAGGATTGTAAGAGGACTGCACTTAGCAGGGTGTATAAATTGTCGGTGGTAGTGGCTTCTTCTATAGTGCTTTGCAGCTTATTTTTAGACTCCTTAGACTCCTGCCAGACTGCAGGTAAAGGTATGATAGGATCTGATGCACAATCCCCACAATTGTGCTTCCTGCCATGCCACATATGCATGACAGGCGGTGTGACTGTGGGACCAAGTATCAGATTCCATCGTGACATATTGCAGGTGCAGGGGGAGCCTGGGATCATGTTTCAGGCACTGGCAAGTAGCTGATGGTGCAGTAGCTCCCTGCCACGAGAGCTCACTTGGCCACATGTTCAATTAATGGCATGGTAGTAACCAGCCACAAAGGGCATTTATACACATGCTCCGGGAGCTGGGGGGGAGGGGAGCACTTTAATTAGAGTGGTTCTCAGATCCACTCTAATTAAAGTGCCCGAAGTGTCATGTGTGTCAGTGTCCCAGCACTGAAAAATGGCGGTGGGAGCACTTTTCAACATGGGGATGCTGGTACACATGACGCTGGCGTCTGCTGGAGTGCGGTAATTACTATGTTCCAGCAGACTCACTGTAATTACAGCGTGTTGGAGCAGTCTCTCTGCACCTGTATAGGCACCCAGAGTTATTACACATCTTTTGTGGAATAACTTTGTGGCTTATTCTTTGTCTTATGACTCAATTACTTGATTTAATGTGTGGCTGGATTACAGTTTAAGATGTGATTGACTGGTTCTGCTTCCTCCCCATTTTTCTTTGCTAGCCCATAGGATTTTTCCAGTCCTGAATTCATTTGACTTCAGCTCATGGAAACTTGTACCCTCTCTGTATAATCTTATTCCATTAGTTTATAAGGTGCAAATCTACTCTGCCTTCTGCCTGACTTCAATCTATTTCTGATGAAGGGTGTTTGCAATAGTGGCAGCTCAGACAGTGCTGAAGTTGGTTTAACTGCAAGGATAGTGAACAACAAACTCTGTTCAGTACACTTTAGAAACCATGGCCAGTTTCAGTGGTAGATGCTTGGTGGATTAAATTGGTGCTTAAATATGTATTTAGAAGTCTAAGGACCATATGCTGTTCCCCCGTGAGGTGTCTAGGCAGTACTAAGGTGTCTAATTGTTTAAGCTGGATCCTATTCTATCTCTGAGAAGCCAATAACAAACTTGATGCTGCCACCTTCTTCCTTACTGAAGGCTAAGGAGATGCATTCTAGGTTTTCAGGGACTCAAGCATGTTGGAATAGGGTTACACTTTGACACTGATGGCACAGATAAACAAAAACATGTGCGGCACTGCCTGTGCCTTTTAAGCATTTCAAAGAAGTGTGGGTACAGACAATGGATAGCAGCAAAGTGCTGCACATCTGCCCAAACTGTATCAAAAATGACTCTGGATGAAAAAGGAACTGCTGTGGTACACAGTACATTTGTCACCTCTGTGAGACACCTAAGTACCACTTAGACATGAGCTGGAATCAGATCTGTCATTAGGTTTTATTTATTTCTTTATGTTTCTGAAAATCATAGTCCTGGCTTTGCACTTAACTTCATTGAATGGAAAAGGCTATAAGGCTTGTTTCAGTTCTTTGCCACTGGGATGCTGGAGTAAAGCTGGTCTTTCCTGAGACTGAGTTAGAAGGTAGTGATGCATTCTCTTCTAGTTTGAAGGCTGCTTTTACAACAGTCCTTCTACATGAGGAGCGAGATTAAATTTCACGCGAGATTGGAGAATCAGAAGCATGGAAACAACATGAGAGAAAAGTAGGGTTGGAAATATAGAGGAAGCCTGCTGGAAATGAAGACCAGTGACTCAAAGGCACAAAAAGGAAAGACAAATATAGAGTAAGAAAAAGAGGAAGGGCAAGTATTCAGAAAGAAACAAGCACTCTGGAACTGGGTTTTAGAAGGAGCCCCTGAAACCTTGTTTCTGATCTCATGTATAAATTAAGTGGCAAAATGAGCAAAGACATTTCCAAAGTTTCATGCACAGGGCACTATGCAATAATAAAGGGACTCCATTTGGATTGTAGCAACAGGAACTGTATTAAGTGTAGTGCACCCAGTGCTATATGCAACCATGTGGTGCATTGTGCTTAGTTTATCAATCACTGCATTAAGCATGTGGATCTTCCTGGAAACTTACTGGTGTCACCATCAGATCATCCTTCCTACAACTCCTGTTCCCCCAGTCATTTAGACAGTTAAAGCAGAGTCAGGCAGCCTGATAATGGTTAATTTTCTTTATTCTTGTTACTTTTGTTATTTGCCGCGGTTTGCAAAGTTGTTGCAATGGGGTGAAAGAGCACTTTCCTGCTCCTGTGGAAACCATGGGGGTTCAGACTTCTCCTTTCTGTGGGACAGTTTGCATCTCCACCCCTCCATCGCTGATCACCCCCTGGATTGGTTTCCTCCCTCTTTCTGCAAAATAGTCTCTCACTTCTCTGTTTAGTTCATTGTGTAATGCTGAAGTGAGGAAACAGCTGCTCAGGTCTGAGCTAATTGGCAGCCAGGAACTTGGATGTATTAACTAACCTGGCTCTAGCAGAAGCAGCCTCTGTCTTCTGCAGTGTGTTAAGTGAAAGGTCCGTAGTGAGCAAGGGCAGAATACAGTTTCACCCAGCGGAAGACCACTGTGCAGCTTGTGACCAGCTTTAAGTTACCTGACAATAGTGTAGAAGCAAGTCTATAACCTCTTTGCGGTTAAAACTCCATAATAGAAATAGGGTAAAGATCTTGTTCCTGGAATGGGGGCCTACATGCCTACAGGGGGTAATGGAATCACTCCTACGTTTTAGTTGGGTAACTCAGTTGTTTGCACAACTAGGAGAACTGGTATGTTGCCGAAAAAGGCACAGCTTGCAGCTCAGTTGGGGAATGCTGTTACAAAACGGCATGGCAACAAATAACAGTGTGGTTTTGCTCTTTGAGGTGGACCATTCCCTGCTTCAGTCATGTAGCTGAGTCCTTTCAAACCAAGGTGTCTGTCTGAAACTGTTTTTAGCGGAAAACTGTGTTTTTAATAACATTAAATTATTCAGGAAAAATTTCTGCTTTTCATGGAATACATTAACTTTTTGTTGGAAAGCTAAATGGAAGTGAGTTATAATTTAGGTGCATCATAACCAGGGAGCCTGGTTTAAAAATTGCAAATTCTCTGATTAAAACACCCCAAATCCACAATTAAAGTGAAACACCACTATATATAGAGGTATCAATTGAACACAATACTTTATTGCTATATTTACAATTTGAAAGCAGTTTGGAAGTTTGCCAGTGCCCCAATCACTACAATAAAACAAATTCTAAGTGCCTATACAGTTTGGAATTTGATTTTGGGTTTTTTATCATGGACAATCAGAGCTCCCCCTGCCCCCTGAGCTCACCAGGATGCAGGTTGAGGTCCCTCACTTCCAAGCCACAGCCCCCCCACCCCTGCTAGTGCCCTTCACCTTCCACCCACAGCCTTACCTGCAGGAGCTGCTGTCTAGGCTCCCTGGCGGCCACGTGCATGTATAAGCGCACACATACACGTGGTGCCCCCTCCCTGACCACCCTTCTCCCGCTCCCCCAGGCCCTTTCAGGCTAGAACTCTGCCAGCCTGAAGAGAGCTCTTTGCAAAAGAGCAAAATCCATGTGTTTCTCCATTAAAATGAAAAAGCCATGTTTTTCTTGGTTAAAAGGGGAAATCTGTGGGGGGGGTTTCTGTTTTCCCATGGGAAATGGAAAATCCCGGATCCCTGATCATAACCTTTATTCTTCTCGAAGGGCATCCCAACCAAACTACTTTATTCTTCTCTAAGGGCATCCCAGCCAAACTACATTCTCCATGATCCACCAAATTATGTAAGGCAGAAGAAAAACCACAGCAGAATTTCTGAGGAAATGTTTAGGAGCTTTTTGACACTTGAATTGACCAATGAAAATGTTTTCATGGGGGAACTACCCGTTTTCTACTACTAACCCAGTCTTCCTGGCACATCAGTCTCTGACTTCACAATCCAAGGTGATAATTTCTGTATTACAGATGGGACTTCTGGCTAGCAATGCTTTTGGGAAAGGTGCAGGATGGATAGCTTTTTTGCTAGAACCATGGTGCCAGTGAGTCTGGATTCCAAAAGTAGCATGCAGAATGAGTGCTGCTAAAGGAAACCAGAGAACATAAAGTTGGCTTTTTTACTGTTTGATAAGTAAGGATGTCTGCAAGCTTTCCGATGCTCTGTGAAAGAAGATACCCTCCTGCTTTCTCTGTACCAGCCCTTTGAATGTCAAGGACTTTCTTGACCACTTCAGGGGTGCTGTAAGGGAGCTGCCATTTTTTTGTGTTTGTTTCAGAGGCACAGTATTCCCAGAATGAGTCATTAAGTGTCTCTCACGAAGACTTGTTCTTTCTTGTTTGCCTCAATCTGACGTGACTTGGTTAGACTGGGAGAAAAAAAAATGTTATGTCTTTCACATGCACAGAGCAAAAACATTTACCTTTCTGACTAT